GTTGGGCCTCCCTGCACACCTGCGGCTCATTGGATCATTATCTGGAGGAGTATTTGAGCAGTGGACTGTCACTACCTCGACGCCAGAGTGTTTGCCAGCTTTGGGTACTCTAGCAAAGCTGAGATTAGCTGAGTCTGACCCAAGAGGTGTTTCTCTGAGACTTATGTTCTTTTGTCTTTGTTTCTTCGGCAGGAAGACTTCCTGTTTAACTGGAATACCTGGACCTTCTCCTCCTGGAAGGAAAAGCAGAGTTCACACTGAGCAGGGGAAAACCTCCACATGATCCGTTCCCATCGGAAATCCGAGTGACAGTCCACACCATTACTCCTCCGAGTCCAATGTTTGTCTACCTATTGAGATTATTTTTTGTTTGGTTTATTAGACCAAGACCTCTAGTATATGAGACCAATTTAACTCCATATATCCTTGCTTTTTCTGCATGATTTTATTATTATTTTTTTTGGGGGGGGGGAAACCACTTTCTTTTATCATTTTATTCCTTTAATTTGATGAACAAAATAAGAATGATCGATAGATGCTGCTGATAGTTAACACATGTAGAGGAGGAAAATGAAAACTCCATGCAGAGATACCTTAGACTGGATATTGAAGCCAACTGCCAGGACAAAAGTGCTAAACTGCTAAACTTGCTAAGATAAAAAAACTAATGCTAAAATTAGTGATGTCACTCACCCACATGCATCAAAGACACACCAGTCGTAATACTGCTGGAAAGACACCTCTGGGTGGCATCTTGAAAACAGCTCCTGAGTTAAGACAGCACACCTTTTCCTGGCCCACGTCAGTCTGTGGGGGTTGCGCTAAAAAGGCAAAGTTTTGAGCACACCGATAACCAGTACTGATCTGTGGGACTAGAGGGATGGTTATACATAGATTTCCATGTCGAACTTACAGCACAGGGATCTCTGAGGTCCTGGTTTTCCACATCAGGGCAAGAAGGACTGACCTTCCAGGAATTTCCGAAGAGCTCAGGCGTCGATTCGACGATTCCTTGCCGTGTAGTGAAGTCATTCTCTGTGTCTCCATCGAAGTTACCACACAGTCCTCCAACCTGACCCTGCAGGTGGGGGGCCAAGCGCAAATACACACGCATACCTATGTAAAAACACAAAATCAGTAAAAAAAGAAATGCTTCAAATGAAAATATTTTGATTTTCTGATGTAAATAAAAAAATCGGGTTAGGAAGCTGCCTAACCTCCATCCCAAAGCAAGGTGATTCCTAGTCGAGAAGAGAGTGCAACAAATATGCCAACTCTTTCCAAGGTCAGGCCGTTGCCGCTGTAGGACTTTGGTAGAGTAACTGGCATCCCGTTTACTGTAACTGCTTTACCTGAAAGCCACAGATGAGACAGCTAATGTTATCAAATGCTTTATTGCTTCATATAGTTGCTGAAATAAATGCATAATAAATATATATATAAATCTGAAAAGACTTGCACCTGAAAGGACTTTTAAAAA